AGAAAGGCTACCTGAATGTTTAACACAAAATAATTCAATGAAAAGAGCTGAGTGACAGCATTCAAAGCAGTGGAAACACAACTGCTCCAATCCGTTAATATTGTCAAAGAAACCCACAGGCAAAATGTGTGGCAAAGATGTAAACTGGAACCAGGACACTTTGGGTATTACGGTTTCAAGCAATCAAAAAGATGTAAAAATAATACTTGCACTTAAAAAAAAAAAAAAGCTATTAGGTTAGGAAACATGTTTAAGAAAGAAACCTAGAGAGAAATGAAAATCGATAAAGCAAATTGATGCTCAAAGTATTTTAATACACAATTTGCGAAGTCCATATAAAGCACTCACATTTTACATATTCTCTTGGCTAAAAGATGCTTAAAAACACTCCAGAGTTTGAGAGTTTATAATATTCATCTATTAACACACATAGACCACGGAATGGTCAGAACATTTTTACCTAGGCATGTATTTTCAGTGACTAGCTAACTCTCACATGAACTAGGTACATTTTCTCTAAATATGTCTAATTTAAGTAAAAACAAAAGCAACACCCTCTTCCCCCCAAAAAACCCAAATTAAACCATCAAATTGTTTTACAAAAGTCAATTCATTTATATGGCTTTACAATGATAAACGGTGTATTTAAACTAGCAGTCACAGGATATATTACAGTGTTTCCAATGCTAAGAAATTTAGAGGAATTAAGTAAATGGTACTATTCTAGTTAAAAGTAATGCAAATTCCAAATTCAACCTTAAAAGTGTTGAGGCAAAAGACACACGGATATCTGAAGCACTATGAATAAATATTTACACAAGAACTCATTCCCAAATCTCTTTCTGGAAACTGTCACTGCTGGTTAAATTGTAAAGAAGCTTGATATTGTTAAACTCTTTGTTCAGTTTTCTCATAATACAAATAACTCTATATTCCCATGGATAAAATAAAACAGTATTCTTATTTATCTTCATCATTTGGCTTTTAATAAAAATAAAGGTTGAATAACTAATGCAATAATTTAAAAAATACAAAAGAACTCTTTATTATAGTAGTTTATTTAATATAATATTTAACTATAAAAGTTAATAGTTTTTGAAGTTTAAATTTTGTAAAATGCAGTTTGCAGAAAACAGTTCAATAGTTACTAATGATGAGAAGCAGCATTCAAAACTAATTTTATAATTGAGAAGACAGCAACTTTATTTCTAAACTTTATTAAAAAAATATACATCACAGTGACTTTTGAGCCAGGAAAGGAAGTGCATTAAGTTCATTTCTGGATTCCCTTCCACAGAGAGCAGCCACGGAGCCTTTAACATCCCCACATACAAACACCCCATTCATTTATCAATCTTTAAAAATATTATGAACACACAAAGGGGGAAGAAAATAGCACATGGTTCACTTAAAAAAAAAAAAAAAAAAAAGGCAGAAACACAACACCCCACCTCCCTCCTGCACTGAAGATAAAAACTCAACAATTTCTTTGTCCAACCTTGCTAATGGCATTTTCTTATACATGTGATTTGTTTTCTTTTGGTATTTCCCTCTTGTACCACACCACAGGCCGAAGAATTTGCATTTATTCAAGTCCTTTAAAAGCAGTAGGGAAGCCCACTACAGACAGGTGTGCCAGCCAATGCTGCATTTACTGGGGCTTATCTTTATTAACTTTTTAAAGCAAGTATTTCTAACAAAACAGATCTCTACACAATAAACAAAGCATCAATATGCAATCCTTGGACAGTTTACTCAATTGTAAAGCAGGAATCCTGAACTGATTTGGAGAAAAGTCCAAAAGATGACACACATACACACACACAAAAAAAACGCCAAACCCTTTTTACGGTTCTTTCTAACAATCAGCTGAATGATGTATATTTACTTGATCTTTTGGTGGAGGCAAACAGGTTTCTATAGAATTTTTTTAAAAAAACAGTTCAAAGTGGCATGTTACTATTATCATTTGAAGTGGAGTATGAAGCTCTACTTAAAAAAACAAAAACAAAGCTAGTTTTATATAATAACTTGAAGATAAGAATTATCAGTTAATACCACTGCCCAAAATACCAGAAACCAAATGTGTGCATGCTTATAATACAAAGGAGTATTTACCTCTTTAGGTTTCATACCTTTCACTGGGCACAAGATCAAATGTCATTTAGTTTTAAAGCAATCCAGTTAACTTCTCCACTGCTTATTTCATTAACAATAATTTCTTTGTAATGCCAATTTCTGTGACAGCTTACCCAGAAATATATTTTACACAAATAATCCTAAAAATTCATATTCTGAAAAATTTTTCAGAAATCACCAACTCAACAAAAATAACAAAGCAATTTAAACAAAACTAATTCTAAAAAGTCACCAAGACACATAAGAGAACTATAAAATTAACAGAAAAGAACAGCTGATGTTTAGGAAAACAGTACACTCAAAGTAAACAATAAGATAGCACAATTATTACAGATATATGAAAGGAGAAGACTGTTTGAGCTGTGCACTGTTCAGATGCAAGAGATCTCGAGGTACAATATTAAATCATTTCCTAAATTTTCCTAATATTCTGAAAATAAATCTAGTTGGTTGTCAATTCTCATCTGAACTCCTGACCACATCTGTTCCACCAGCAAACAAATCTTAAAAAAAAAAAAAAAAAAAGTAAATAATGCATGAAGCTGCTCTTTTGACAGCAAAAAAAAAAAGTATGTTTATAGATGATATTAAAGTTTTTTCCACTACAGTTACTTTTCAAAACTCTTAAGTCTTGTCTTAGTACTTGTCACTCTTGATAGATAAAACTCTGAGATCAGACAACACAAAAGTTGTTTTTACTTAGCACAGACTTTTGAAAAATGTTACTTGAAATCCTTTCTTAAATAACACCTTTCTTGAAGCTCAAATAGTTTTATAATAAAGATTTTAAAACCGAAGTTTACTGAATTTAACACAAATGACAACCAGCTTAATATATAACAGATTATACAACTTGGGCACTCAGACTCAATTATGTCTAATGTGTGTTTCTGGTCAAAGTCCTTAAAGAATGAATCACCCTGCATCATAATATACCTCTATTACTTTTGTTATAAGGAAAAAATTTTGGAACAAATGCACTGTGGATATATTAAGATATTCTGAACAATCCTCATTATCCTATTCATTCTGAAAACAAGTGTAATAATGCCAAATGTATCATTACTGTATTAATGAATATTGAGAAGTATTAGTTAAGCACTGCTTTATTTATTCAGTATAAAGAGCATTGAGTAGCTACTGAATTTACCAAGAAGCTACCTTGGTGATACAGTTAATACTATATTGACAAATATTAAAGTAAGAAACAGTCTAGGATATTATTAATTGGAATTCTGAAATTTCCTTTAAAATGAGGCAGGTTTTGTGTTTGCTGGATGTTCAATGTTTTATTTATAAGAGAAATTACAGAATAAAAGGCCACACATCACAAAATAGCAAAATACAACACACAGAATCTAATGTCTTTTGGGTATCTTTAGCTATCAAATTTTGCAACTTTCTATGCTATATGGCAGTGTTATACATGCCAAGCTAAAACAGTGTTAACAATGATTGTTTAAAGCCACCGGAACAGAAACCAGAGTCAATAAACATGCTATGTAGCCTATCATGATACATACATAGAAAAGATGCATTTTCCTGCCATTTGAAACTCACAGCTAAGAGAGAGAAGTCAGTTCTACTTAAAAAACAAACAAAAAAAATGCATGCAGCATTAACACAACTGTATTATAGGCTGGTGGGCAAAAAAGAAATTTTGGAAACAATGCGTCAATACTAATGATTTTTAGAATCTTAATTACACAAGTGATTTGTTTTTTTAGTGAACAAAGTTTTTTTTTTCCTTTTTTCAAATTTTAGAACAGGAGGATGATTAATAAAACAATGTTCCCCAAAAGCAACAAATTCAACCCTTCAGCCTAAAATGCCATAACATAGAATTGAGAATTCAAATTTGATTTTCCAAGGTATATAAGAAACACTGCTGTGCAGTTGATTCCAGCTCACAGCAACCCTTTAGGACAGAGTAGAACTGCCCCATAGGGTTTCCAAGGCTGTAAATCTTTATGGAAGCAGACTGCCAAATCTTTCTCCCGTGAAACAGCTAGTGGGTTTGAACCACCAAGCAAGTGGTTGGCAGCTGAGCATTTAACCACTGCACTAGCAGTGCTCCTTTCCAAGGTACAGTTCTGGCAAATGCTGTATAACAGCAAGTAAAGCTCAATCAGTACATCAACTTAAAAAACAAAACAAAACAAAAAAAACAATAAAAAATCTTATCATTATGGTTATAAACAGTTAAATAAAACTAAATTTGACAGGAAAATCATTAACGTGAAACAAGCTACGGTTTGAAAGAATATGGTATGAAATGCAATGTAAATATCTAAATAATGATCTATTTAAATAAAAATTATTATAAAATCAAAGTGATGATTTAAGATGTCAACTTATTAGGATCCTGCTTCATGTAATTAAAAGAAACTGCTGCAAGGCTCTATTATAAATGCATTCAGAAAATCTATACAAGATATCTTCTACCTAGTGACTTCTAAACTTATTTCAATAATGAAAAAACACAAGCTTTTGTAACAATGTGTTGCAACAATCAGTTTACGCTTATTTCCAAGTGTTTGATCAAACAAATTGGGATGTAGTAAATATAGCATGTTTGCTATTGGCTGACTGTTGCAACACAAAAATATATACATGAAATAGCCAAACACATCACACAGTATTACACCAAAGTGTTTTTTTCTCATTTCAAGTTTATTAAAACTTTAGCAGTACAAATTATTCAGGTTGCAGTTTATCAAAAGATCAACTAAATGAAGTCCACATTAAAAAAAAAAAGACAGACAAAACAATGAAGAGGAAAACAACACAAAGGAAATTAATCAGCAAGTCTCTAAAACTTAAAAACTGAGACAGTATGGAAATAAATTTATACAACTCACTCATCCACTTTTGTCTTCATCTGTTCCAGGGCTTGATTCGTGATCAAATTTTTTATTTTTGTCATGTATATGGTCATTTTCTTGACTCTTTGATTTTTGGTTGATTTCTTTTTCCAATGAGGATCTGGTCTTCTCATCTTCCTTGTTTCTCAAGGTGGAGGCCTTTAATTCATTGTCCTTACTGCTTTGTTTTATTTTTGAGAATGGACTCTGATCTCTATCAGCCTTTTTTTCTCTGTTATTAGTTGAGCTATTATGATCACGATTTTTAGAGTACATTCTTTTCTCATTCTCGGAATTTTCTTTTCTGTGTGAACTCTTACTTTCTTGGTTTCTGTATTTTTCTTTGTTTCTGCTTTGACTTTCTTCTCTCTCGGAGCTCCGTGACTCTCTCCTCCTCCTCCTCCTGTCTTTACTGCTTGATCTTCCTGGCGTTGCCCTTCGCTCTCTGCTTCGAGACCGTCCTCTTCTCCTGTACTCCCGTTCTCTGTACCTGTGGTACTCCTTGCTTCGGCTGCGATCTCTGTCTTGACTTCTAGACCTCACTCTTCTGCTCCTTTCCCGACTTCTGCTTCGTTCCCTTGTTCTGCTATTGTAACTGTGTTTGCCTTTAGTTACATCACGCTCTCTGCTCCTAGACTGTGCGCGCCTATCCTTTTCCTTACTTTTATTATGGGCATGCTCACTGCCTTTTGATTCTATCTGTTTAGATTTCTCTTTACTTCTGCTCCTTTCCTGATCTTCTCCTTTAGAATCAGATGGCTTTTCTTTTTCTCTAACGTTCTCACGACCCCTGTCTTTACTCCCTGACCTCACCCTTTTCTCTTCATGTCTATTATGCTTTGAATCTCTTTCTTTACTCTTTGATTTCTCTTTGCTCTTACTCCTGCTTTGAGACTTGGCCCTTTTCTTCACTTTGTTTTTATTATATTTATCATCTTTTTCTGAATTTCTTCTGATGTCTCTGTCTTTGCTACTAGATTTATGATCTTTAACTTTCTTTTCTTTTTCGCTTTTTCTGTTTGGACTCTCAGACACGTGTCTTTGATCAGTTATTTTTCTCTCTTTTACTCTAACTGGGCTTCTTTGATTTTCTTTTATTTCATTTAACTCACTCCTAAAAAAATAAGAAAAATAATTAAAGAGTTTAGAGAACCTTACTAGGAAAAGAATGGTGTCCATTATTAGCTAAAATAGTATTCTATTCTCCTTAAGGCATTCAGAAAAAATTAAATTGGCTATTAATAACCTTGAAAGGAGCTCTGGTGATGTAGTGGTTAAGGCACTGGGCTGCTAACCCAAAGGTTGGTGGTTTGAATCCACCAGCCATTTGGCAGAATAAAGATGAAAAGGTCTACTTCTGTAACGATTTATAGCCTTGGAACTCAATGGGGGTCACAATGGGTCAGAATCGACTTGATGGCACCGAGTTTCTTTCTTTCTTTTTTTTTTTTAATTAATAACCTTATGGACAATAGTATATAAAAAACTACTTGTTCCATGCATTTGAAATAATACAGTTATATCTTACTTATCCCCTTTGATCCATCTTTCACCACTTGATACTCTCATTCTTTGAGCTCTCTGCATCTCTTGCCTCCAATGTGGAGGAGTTTCACTACGTCTAAAACGATCCCTTGATCTGGATCTGGAAGGAGTTCGATAACGCTTAAAAAAATAAATAAGAAAAAAAATTAAGATATTAAAAATACAAAAACATTGCAATAATAGCTAGTATTTTATTCTTATTAAAAAGTAAGTATTTCTAGGTTCAAATAAAATTTTATTTCTTTGTACTTTAAAATTACTAAAACTCCCCAATTGTAGTTGGGGAATCAGTGTGGCGGAAAAATTTTTAACTAATCATCTTGCAATTTCCAAATAAAAAGCACTTACTACAGAATACCCTAGTCTTGTATGTCATCCACCTCTCTCAACCATCTTTCTGGAAAATTCCTATACAATTTTGTGATGGTACAATAACCCTTACAAGTTGCCAAGTTCCAATTTGGGTATAACGTATACTTAACGTTTCAAAGCAAACATTTCTCAAATGTATAGATGTTCATTTATTCAACAAATATTTATTCAGCCCCTAGGAATGACAACCACTGTACCATACGCTGGAGAAAACATTAGTGAACGACAATATATCTGATTTTACTCTTTTGGAAAAAAAATAAACAGGACTAGAATACAGGGATAGGCACACAATCACAGACAGTAAACATACACAACTACAATCGGAATGAGTGTAAATGGAAAAGTAAAAGGTGCTCAGAGTGTACCTAACAAAGATAACTAATCAATCTAGTATGGGGAAAGGGTATGAACATTTAAAGTGATAATTAAAAGTGGAAACTGAAGGATGTTTACATGAGGATTTAGCTTGGCAAGGGCGAGGAAATGAGGGTAAGGATAAAGGGATGAGGAAAAAGATTCGAGGCATAAGAAATACCAAGCCTGAAATGTCCCAAGACAGGGAGGAACATACCAAGTTTTAGAAATAATCACTAGATAAAGCACGAAAGCTAAAGCTAAAAACTGTGAGGGAAAGTGATATTAGGTAATACTGATAATGATTAACCCTGGACTAGATTATAGAAGATCGTATGGGCTCTGGTGGTACAGTGGTTAAGGCATCCGAGTGCTAACCAAAAGGCTGGCGTTTCAACCCACCAGCTACTTCATGGGAGAAAGATGAGGCAGCCTGCTTCCATAAAGATTTATAGCGTTGGAAACCCTGTAAGGCAGTTCTACTTTGTCCTATGGGGCTGCTATGAGGCAGAATCGACTTAATGGCAGTGGGTTGGTTTTTCTGGATGGGTCATCTAAGAATTTTCCTTCTATCCTAATATCATTGGCAAGAGAGTGACATATTCAGATTTTTATTTTTCAATAATCATTCTGGTTACTATTTAGAGAAAAGGTTAGGCCAGTGATTCTCTAAACATAGTTTAGGAATCCCAAGAGACAGAAGGTTTGTGAGGTCAAAACTATTTTTATACTAATTATCATTTTACCCTTTCTACTTTGATTCTTTCATGATTGTACAGTATAGTTTTCAAGACTCTATGACATGCTTTCAGAGATAATGAAATGTGTGCTTATATATCTTTGTGTTTTAAATAGCTATTTTAATTTCTAAAATGTTGATTATTGGTAGATATAACCCAGATCAACAAACACCCCTTTGGGTAGTCAGTAATTTCTAAAACTATAAAGGGGTCCTGAGACAAAAAAGGTTGAGAATTGCCAAGAGACCACTTAGGAAGCCATCGTACTAATTCAGACAATATATGATGATGAGTTGGATGAAGATGGTGGAGGTGGAGTTTGACAGAGGCACAGACGTCAGACTATTTAGGAGGCAGAACCAGCAGGATTTGGAGCTGGTAAGCTACATAAAACGCGAAAGAAATGAAGAATCAAAATGATTCTTGGGCTTTAAGTAACTGTGCAGATAGTGCCAATCACTGAGATCAGAAATCTAAAGGAGAATCAGGTCTGAAGAGCAAGTGTTTATGCTCAGCTTTGTATATACTAAGTTTGAGGTGCCCATTTGGCAGCTAAAGGGCTACCTAATAAAACTTTAGTGCTGAGAAGACCAGATGAAAACTTGATAACTAACAGCACACAGGTATCAGCTGAAGTCACGGAAGTGATGAGATTGCCAAGGAGAATTTGCAAAGTGAGCCTAGTTGGGAGCTGAAGTACTCCAGTATTTAAAGGTCAGGTAAAAAACTATGAATTGGCATTGGAAATTTAAGACAGGCTGTCTACAGAGATAGGAGGAAAATGTCACAGAATCAGAGTGGAAAGAATGTATTACAAGGATAGAAAACACATAACATGAAGACTAAAAAGGATCTGTTGGATTTTGTAACACGGAGCTGATTATATAGCAAGAGCTCTTTTTAGCAAAATTGGTAGGTAGAAAACAAAACTGTTGAGGAATGCACGGAAAGAGAAGAAGTAAGATACTAAATATAGTCAGATTTCTAAAACGTTTTGAAAACACAGGAAGATATTTAACCAATTAAAAAATAGGCCAAAGACATGAACCAATACCTCACCAAAGATATTCAAGCAGCCAACAAACAAACATATGAAGAAATGCTTGGCAATCATTAGCCACTGGAGAGATGTAAATCAAAACAACGAGATACCAGCCCACCCTAGAAATAATAGCAAAGTTCAACAACACAGAAAATAACAAATGCTGGCGAGGATGTGGACACATTGGGAGTATCATGCACTGCTAGTGGGACTGTAAAATGATACAACCACTATGGAATATGATTTCTTAAGAAGCCGGGAATAGGAGGCGGGGCAAGATGGTGGACTAGGCAGAAGGATTGCACAGACCCTCTTCAACAAAGAAAAGGGAAACCAATTAACACAGACACAGAAGATAATCTTGGACCCCTGAGCCTTGAAG